GTACCATATACTCGCTACTGGAGAAGGATATAATAATGAAGCATAATGAAGGCATAGCATAATAATGAAGGGGAATAACTACCGAAAGTTTTAGTTTTTTCAGTTCCTGGAAAAGAAAGACTTGGAAGTTCGAAACAAAGTCCGTAGGTTTCTGTAAATAGAATCTCTACGATCACAATCATGCCTGGGTTTATGCTCGGAATTTGTTTCTATTTACTGGGTAAAGTTTCATGTTGCCTCGATTCCCGGGTACCCCCCAGGAGGCCCGTCGCGCGGCAAGAAGGCCGAGTCAGCGGACGAGTTGCGCGCGTACTTAGGGATTCGCGTCAAGTTAAATAGAATGTCCCATTGCACGTCCTACATCGCACATCACGCGCTGCGACTCGTCCGCCGACTCTGCCTTCTTGCCGCGCGATCCCCTCCTTCGAGGAGACAAAGGGCGCGATATAAGTTCCTACTGCCTTCTCATGTCGATAATGGCCTATACATCGATGGTGTGCAAAAGATTCGCTAAAAGATAGAAATAGTCATGCAAGAGCTGTCGTACTAATGCCCCATGGAGGCGGGGACGGGTGGTAAAAATATGAAGATAATGGATAGTGGACGGGTTCACCCCACCCCTGCCCCTCTTTGCTACAAAACGCGTCTGCTCACTACATTTGCAATCATTTCACGAGGTGTTTGCGAACACTTTGAGCTGAGCTGTTGCGGGCGATGTGCTCACCTCCAGTGCAGAAAGCTGGTAGGCAACGCTTGCCAAGAACGCAATTCAATCCCGTTGAAATGGACTTATTAGTTTCACAAAAGGTTGCTACGGCGGGAGCGGTCAATCCTCTTTAGAATGGACAACAGAAGATTCTCTGCAAATTCGGCACCGCCTGCGGGTTCATGTACTTTGCTTTTTCAGAGCCAACCTCAACTGTTTAAGTGTGCCCGCCTTCATCGCAACATGGAGTGGGCGAAAATTACGCTGACAAAAAATGGACAACAAAGCAATGTTTTCGAAAAGCCCCAGATTGACAGCACCATCATATTGGTGGGAAGTATTAAACAGGTGGTACAGTACTCCTTAAAGCGGCCGCCCTTTGCTTTAATAGAAGACGAAGACTTTCCTTGAAAGTCATCAACCCTTTTGGTTAGGCAAGTGGGGTCGATAGGTCCAAGGCTTTCTAGAGCAAATACTCAACTAGTTGATGTTTCTATTATGCTTGTAGCAACGCTTTGCAATTGGCACGCTCAACCCGAAGCAGTTCCTAGGACTTATGTTGAGAGAGCAATGTCGGCATTTTTCCAATATGATAAATTCCGCGATATTCAGATGGCATCAGTTTTTAGACGACTTGAGCATAATGTGTCGAAACCCAACGCTATGATGCCCTGGGCCTCCTATCAATGTCCTTTCGGTCTGAAGTATCAACCCAGACAGAATAAGTTGGATGGGATCCTTTATATCTTAGACAGCATACGTCGGAGATGCTTCGGAAATGATTCCTGCTCTTATGACTTCGGCAAAAGCCGTTAATAAATAGTTGGATAGCTGTACACTAGCATTGGTCCGGTTGCGCTTCGAGGGCATTCTCGACAGCAGAATATCTTCTTATAAGAGGAGACGATCATTAAATGAAGCTCATCTCTCAGCTCAATCGAGATTTTGCCTTTTAGCGCATTTGCTTCCTATTACATATCTTTGCATCGGTTAGAAGTTAAGACATTTTCATGCTCGTAAACCA